TGGGGGGTAGCGTCCACTCGATACAAATTATGACATTTGGGGACTAGCATATGGTTCAATTTTATTTCAATAATTCGCTTGCGCGTAGGGGTCATTAGCAGTGGGAGGAAATCGGCGAACCCGGAGAAAACTCACGAGGATGGACAGGCGACCGTACTCCTTGTCACGCACAGCTGGGGAATCGAAACCACGCCGGTTGACTCAATGACAGGCCTTATGATATCCACCCCCCCCCCCTGGATAAGTATAACAAACGGGTTAGAATAATGATTGCTTACTGTTGTTGTTCTTAGTGTTTAACGTCCGCTTCCACCGAAGGTGATATCGCAGAGAATTTATCTTATTTTCGTTTTTATTATCTTAGCGCCCGCGTAGGGGTCTTTCCTATTCGAGGAAACAGGAGTACCCGAAATAAACCCATGGGGTTGAGAAGGCGCCCCTATCTCCAAGTCACATAAGCTCACACCGGTGGATCGAAACCACAACCGCAAACCACAGATGACCTACCAGCTAGAGGTCGAAGCGCGACACTCTAGACCGTTAGGTGTGTGAGTTAGTTGTATTTTACGTCTGCTTCCACCGAAGTGATATCGCAGACAAAGACCGTTAGGCATCCACACTGAATAAATACAGGTGTTTGGTCACGTGATATGACTATTTTTAACTCTCGAATATACAATAATACCCCCACCCTTCACTTTAATGATTGGATGAGGGATTTTAACATTTGAAGATGTTTTGGGCCTGCATTGTCAGCTGTCAGCTGAGGCTACTAGTATCAACATTCAAGTTTCCATTTAAATTTGGGTGAATTTTTAGAATTTATTATTTTATATACAGACTCAGTTTGTAGCTAGTTAAATTTGGTGAGTTTTTAGCATTTATGATATTACTAGAAGAATGCCCGGCTTCGCTCGGGGGTCATAACCCCGAAACCGGAAGTGGTAGACTAACGCCACCTGGACTATGTTACTCCCCGGTCCGAGCTACCCCTATACCCCAAATTTCAGACTCGGGGCAGACCTAGTGTAGCCGCCAACCCCGAACAGCCCGGGGGTCATAACCCCGAAACCGGAAGTGGTAGACTAACGCCACCTGGCCTATGTTACTCCCTGGTCGGAGCTACCCCTATACCCCAAATTTCAGACTCGGGGCAGACCTAGTGTAGCCGCCAACCCCGAACGGACAGACAAACAGACAAACACACGACAGTCACAAATATTAGTATAGAAAATAACAGGACTTGCACACAACTTTGTCGCTATACTTGTTCAGACTTAGACCGATTTTTTCGAACAATCAGAATCGAGGAAATGTCTGATTTATGTTACAATTTGTGTTCATTTTACGTTAAACCCCATTTCACTCTCAGTTTCAAAAGGCAAATTAAGACAAATCGAGACTTTTATATTTGTCACTCAAATTAAAGAGTCGCAAATTTGCTCAAGAATTCATCAGTAATTACCGATTTTGCACATTGTAATAAGAAAACATATGTAAACGTTGGGTAATTTTTATATTTTTTAGATGTTGGATGACAGATCATCAAGGAGTAGTGGTGCTTGTTGGTTAACAACAAGTATCAGATCAAGATTTGGTTGTCGCTGTTTACTTCTTGTTGCTATTATATTGATATTGTGTGGTTATTTTCACGAATACCATTCAAACTCGTTGCCGCCAGGAATAGATTTCTGTAAACTTTTACCCCAGGGTATGTTAATTTGATTTGCTTTAATAAGAATTTGAAAGGAGAGCTTTGCTACAATATGGTGCAAGATGCCCTGGCGGAGATCTTCATGGGCGACATTTCGACATTTACAAAGGATTTATAATATTAATATACTGAAGAGATTTTGTGTTATCTGAACAATGTATATTATAATTCTACCCTTAAACGTTTGCTTTTATTAGTATTTCCATTGACAGCTCAAAGACCAACCGGATTGAATATTGATCGATAATTGAACCAGGGGACATGTCAGTTAGTACGACATACTCCTATCACGCCACGTCGTGGTGGTAATTAGTAACTTAAAGGCGAATTTGTGTTCACTTTGGGGTTAATGGTGAAAACTAATTTTAAACCTAAAGATGAATGCATAAAGTATACAATAACTGCAACGCCTTCAGTTATCCTTCTATAGTACATTGTTGGTACCCACTAATATTACATATTTTCCTAGAACTTTTTGAACACACACCAAATATAATTTGAAAATATAGATAGAGAAAACAGTACGTGCATTACCTAATTTTGATTATTGCTCATGCTAACATTATAAACAATAGTTACAGTTTATTTAGGAAGCCGGTGGTCACGGTGGCTAAGTGTTTAAGACGCTGGCTCGCTAGTCTGGAGGACGGATGATCGATCCCTGCATTGGCCGAGAAAGTTCATCGAGATTTTCCGGCGTGGTTCCCCCTTGTCAGTGATGCAGGACGGAGGGCCTGACAAGGACAGTTGTCTAGTCGTTCAGATGGACGGAAAACCGTGGTCCCGTGTACATATTAGCGTGCACGTAAAAGACCCCTGCCTGGCAAGTGACAACATATAATTGTTCGGATAGGTCGAAAACCCGAGGCTCCGTGTACACATTGGCGTGCTCGTAAAAGAACCGTTGACAGTTGGTATTCGATATAAAAGTAGGCCGTAGTGCCACTGTCTGAGCAAAATTACCCTCATAGCACACTGTATGGCGTATGCCCGTCTTCATTAGCCCAGTTCGGAGCTGAACAGTAGGACGTTAAACCCCATTTCATTTCATTTATTTAGGAAGCCGAATAATGTAGGAATACCTTGGTAACGGCGATCGAATACTGTCAAATATTGTATTTTCCTGTTACAGTTTTCAATATGGACTTCACTAATGACTTTGATATCATTTCACTTTGTGTGATTTTGTTACCAAACCCAAGAACCCCCTAAAATATGTTTTTATAGATTTAAGTATATGAAATCAAATGGGGTTTAACGTCCTACTGTTCTGCTCCTATACTGGGCTAATAAAGACGGGCATACGCCATACAGTGTGAGGGAAATTTTGCCCGGCAGCGTAACTATCGCCTACTCTTATATCGAATTCCAACTGCCAGGGGATCTTTTACGTGCATTCCAATATATACACGGGACCTCCGTTTTTCGTCTCACCCGAAGGACTAGACATCTGTCCTTGTCAGACCCTCCGTTCTGCACCACTGACAAGGGGAAACCACGTCGGAAAATCTGGATGAATTTTCTCGGCCAATGCAGGGATGAACACCCGACCTCCTGGCTAGCGAGCCAGCGTCTTAACCACCTAGCCACCGTTGCTCCAGATTTAAGTATATCACAAAATAAAAGTTCTAACAGCTAGGATTACATATTCAAACACAAGTTTATTGAACAATAAACCCGTTTACCTCGGTCTAGCCAAAGCGGCTAAGTTCTTGAAACGTTATCTTCTAAGAATGGGCCTTCCTAGCCGGAGCGACTCCCGTTATTTTATATAACCCTGATAAGTCGTCGACACCAAGGTATTAACTAATTAATTAGTTGAATATGTTTAAATATGAAAATAATACATAAACAGAGAGAGGAATGGCGATTAACGTCCATTCGACACAAACCACATGTCATTTTGGGACTAACATATAGTTCGACTTTATTACAGTAATTCTCTTGCGCGTAGGATGACCTGGAGAAAACCAACGAGGTTGGACAGCTAACCCTATTTCATGTCACGTACATCAGTTGACTCAATAACAGACCTTATGATGTAACGCGCACGCGCTAACCATTCGACCATCCAACTCCCCATAAATAAACAATATAACTGAAAGCTTTTAGCTTAGCTGTTATCATCACATTCATATTATATTAGGCTTCTACATCAATAACCAATTATATAATATAAAATGAACTAAAATCATATTATTTCAGCATTTACTCTATCTGATTCCGCCACAAAAACAAAAAAAACTCCAAAAAGCAAAAAACAAAACAGAGATGAAAATCGTCAGTGCATAGTTGTTAGCGCTCTCTACTGCATCCTTCATTTGCGTCACTTTCTAATTCTGTCAATCTTAGCAAAGCCCTCAGTGGTAAAATAATATCTGGAATGTGTTAAGCCGTTCTATTATATCTGTAATACTGCTGAACACCAACATTGTCCTTCAATGGAATACAAATACACAATAATCTTGTTCGTACCGACATCTTTAGTCCCCCGCTGTTGTTTCTTCTATTCACTCTTCGACGGAAAAGCATTGACATTACTCTATCACACCATATCCGCAGTCACAATTTATTAATTAAAGGCGAAATAATTTGGATGGTTGAATGCATGGAAGTGAAACGTCAGGATTTCCCCTTTAATGAAATAAAAATACACCACTGTCAGAACTTAAACCCTGCCTGCCTTTCACTTCAGATTTTGACTCGTCAAAGGTGTCTAATGAATCGTGGTGGCAGTATATCTGCTTGTTTGAAAGGTAAGTCACAAAATGTACACTTCTGCTGACTTCCGTTTCTATCTGAATCGAAACCGTTATAATTGACAGTAGCGATGCATGATTTGCATTTTTGCGGAAAATATCAACTTTCCCATGGCTTAATCCACGCAAATATGTACTCAAGAGTTATTATTGATCATTTAATTAAGAATACAGTATCAAAATAACAAGGCTTGATAATCCTCCTGCCGGGATTGAATCAATTAAAAAGGCTCATTAAAAAGATGGTGGCTCCCTTGTTACATTCTGAGCAGCATAGATCGATGGAATTTTCATTTCGTCATATCTTTGAAAATACTGAATGGAATTGAACCATATTAAAGTTTGTAAAGGATTATATAGCGCCAAATATCACAGACAGATTCACGTGATTTACAAATCGATTAAAATGCAATTAAAACTAAAAGATAAGGTAAATTCTGCCAAACCACTTGAATATCCTCTATAAACACAATCCACCCTATTTTAGATTATATTTTTGTTTTTTATATTTTTCACTTGTTTTTCAGATATTTTGATCAACCATTAGAGCATAAATGTATTTATTCCCGTTGGATGGGTAATTGGAAAGTTTGCTTTGATGAGACTAGTGCACCACGTAAATCTTGTTTGGTTTACTCATTCGGGTAAATACGGCACTATTAAAGCAATGATGCGTCATTTGCACTTTACGATGAAATATCAAATTTATCACAGGCTAATTCACGCTAATATGTACTCAGATTGATTATTTAGTATTTAATCAAGAAAGCAAAATCAAAGTAATTGAAATGGAGTTTAACGTCCTACTGTTCTGCTCCGACTGGGATAATGAAGACGGGCATGCACCATACAGTGTGGTATGAGGGAAATCTTGCCCGGGCAGTGGAACAATGGCCTACCCGTATATCGAATTCTAACGCCAATGTATGCACGGGACCTCGTTTTATTTTTGTCTCATCCGAATGACTAGACAGCTGTCCTTGTCAGGCCCTCCGCCTGCACCACTGACTAGGGGAAACCACGTCGGAAAATCACGATGAAAAATCAAAATACCAACGCTAGAACCTCCCGGTATAGATTGATTCGGATTGAAAATGGGCCTATTAATTCAGTCTGCTCTCCAACAACAAAGTGGCTTGTTAATAATGAGCAGCATAAATCGATAAAATTTTGATTCTACATATTTTTGTAAATACTGAACGGATCTGAACCATTTGTATTAGAGAGTCATCTTTATAGTTTGCAAGGGATTCCTGTTGCGCTAAAATGACATAATAAGACTTGGTTCAACTTCAACTCTATTGAATGCACACATCTAAGTTCATGTTGTGGTAAAAGAAAACAAGTTTAAATAAATTCAGCTAGTTATCAGACTGAAACACAATTAGTCAGGATTTACATCAATCTGGTATTCATGTCCAAGTGCCCATCTGCGTTTATCGTCCCATCCGAATGACTATTTGCCTTTTCTTGCCAGACTACTGCCGGGATGGGTGAGTCTGCCAGCGCCTTAATCACCTGTTTCCCCTGCACCCGTTTATTTATGCATTTTGTCTTTAAGTTTATTCGAAAACTTTTTATTTTTAATTTAAGGATAGCAAATGATTTTAGTTTTGATGAAGCAATGGAAGCAGAAGGTTGCATGGTCTATTCATTTGACCCGAGGTTAGTTAGGGCCAGATTTCCTTTATTTATATTCACAGGGACCGTACAATATAAATACATTTATATTTTTATCAAATTTCGTCATTTCTCATAAAATTATCATAAAATGGAAAACTATCATAAAAAATATCACTATTTCTAATAAAATGAGATGACAAATTTGTCAAAATATAAAATTCACCATAATTTGCTACTCCCAATAATAAATTTCTATACTAATAAATCCGGTTTTGAATAAGAAAATCATCCAGACCAGCTTGCTGCTCTCTTTCTATTTGACAGTGTTCAGTTAATGTTATGATGGTATTTGTATATGAAATGAAATTAAATGAAATTTGGGTTTAACGTACAACTGTTCTTGTCCATGTGGGATATATGAAGACGGGCATACGCCATACAGTGTGCTATGAGGGAAAGTTTGCCCCGACAGCGGCCCAAAGGTCTACTCTTATATCGAATTCCATCTGCAAAGGGATCTTTTAAGCGCACGCCAATGTATACACACACGGGGCCTCGGTTTTCCATACCATCCGAACGCCTAGACAACTGTCCTTGTCAGGCCCTGCGTTCTGCACCACTGACAAGAGGAAACCACGCCGGAAAACCCCAATGAACTTTCGCGACCAACACCGAGAGCGAACCCGTGACCTCCAGGCTAGCGAGCCAGCATCTTACCCACTTAGCCTCCGTGGCTCCCCATGGGTATATGAACGTAGGAGAAGATGAATGCAGCCATTAATGACGTTCTTATCCGCAAAGCTCTGGCTGAACACTACTTCATGGGCCGGGGATAAGTTATTTACTGTCAGTGCAATTATCATAATATTTGATTATAATGATAAAAACATAAAAAGTCATGAAATGTGATAAAAACATTATAAAAATATCATAAGATTTGATAAAAAAAACAAAAAAAAAACATCATGAAAATCATAAAATTCGACGAGAAACTTTTCATAAAAATATACATTTATGACAAAGATCTGAATTTTGTAATATGTATTTTATCAGCAGAGATGGAAATTCTGCAATTTACTATAACGATTGATACGCAGCACTCGAACGGTAGGATATTGTGCTCTCGACCAAAATGTCTGGATTTTTCAAGCTGGTTTTCACTTGAATGCCAAACAAGGCCGAGGTTCATACATAATTTATTTGTACACACTGGTGAGTAGGCAAGTTCAGTGTCACCATTGGGCTACCAAGGCTGCCATTTAACAAACACATTGGGCATGTGACCGTAGTAATCAAATGTATCACATGTTAGTCCCAAAATACTATTTTGATTGACAGGCATATGGTTGCTAATTGAATCTGGTAGCTAATGGCAATACATCGATTGAATAGTCCATAATTCTAGTCTTTAATGGACTCATGGCTAACTTTTGACAAGCACCAAACAGACAGGTATAACTTGAGCAAGAAATTGGCTAATTGGCCTGGAGGTCTCGGGTTCGCTTCTGGTGATGGCCAAGAAAGCGTCATGTGCATTTATTTATTGCTTTATTATATGCCTTTCATTTTATTGAATTAACTTTTTCTATTACTGTCAATACAGTACTATTTGTAACTGAATTTTAAACAGTCAGTAGAATTATTCTCTTTTGTCTATCATTTTACAGCATGGGAGTAGAAGACCACAAACATAGTGTAAATGTATATTTTAAAAATCTGGGGCTGGGCAGTCATGATATGGATAACTTTTCACCAAGAAGTGACGAATACGTTTCATATTCTCAGAAATGGAAAATAAGAACTTTAAAATCAATCCTCATAATGCTAGGACACGAAAAGGTAGAGTATTTATAAGATTTTTGAATGAAATAAACTATAATTTGACCAACTGACCCTTGACGGACAGGTGAGGAAATAGGGAAACCATATTAGATTTAAGCTCGGCAGGGGCACCGACTCCATAAACAATGATTGGATCAAACTCCCGTTAAAGACCACTTGTTTGCAGTTTCGAGTCGAGAATTAGGCCAACAAAACCTATTTCAGATTTCTAATAATTACGCCATGGGTTGTTTTAATGTCTTGTAAGTAAGTGCTCTATTTTCCGTCAAAATAAATCATTTACTATCCGGTCGACTAAGTTCCCGTCAGCCTATGTGTTTTATTGTCTGACAACCTATATGTTATGTGGTTGTAAAGAGAGAGAGAGAGAGAGAAATGGGGTTTAACGTCCACTCGACACAAACTAGGTCATTTCGGGACTAACATATGGTTTAATTTTATTTACATAATTCGTTTGCGCGTAGGGGTCTTTAGCAGTGGGAGGAAACCGGAGGACCCGGAGAAAACCCACGAGGTTGGACAGGCGACCCTACTCCTTGCCACGTACAACCGGGGATTCGAAACCACGCCAGTCGACTCAATGACAGACTTTATGATACAGCGCGCGCACGCTAACCATTCAGCCATCCAACCCCCCCTGGTTGTAAAGAAATTTGTCATTCACTCTGACATTTCGGACTGTTTGAGATGATCGTTGTTCTATCCACAGTAGAGACATGTTTATACTCCAGAATGGTATGGAATTCAGACGCAATCTTCAGTCTGCCATGCGTCAAGTAGTCAATAACTAAAGAAATGGGGTTTAACGTCCTACTTTTCAACTCCTATTGGGCTAATGAAGAAGAACTTTCTTTTCAGTGCACACTACATGTAATGCACACGGGACGACTAGACATTGTCCTCGATAGGCCCTCTGTCCTGCACCACTGGCTGGAAATTCCGGGTGGTGGGGGGACTTGTTAGTGAGTCAGCAGTCTGCACCTTACTCACTGATCCACGGTGGGTCCGTCATGTAAGTCAAGGCAATGTGTCTTTACCTTTTATCTTAATCATGTATTGGTTAACAGCTTAAATACGAGCTAAATGTTTAAGTGGTTATATAGATTTGGAGTCTAAGCCCAATATGCAAATATATGCTATTAATTTTATATATATTTGAAGCGCTTCATCGATGTACTGAAGTTTGATGTTGAGGGATATGAATGGGAGATTATGCTGAACTTAATGAAAGACGGGCTTCTACCACAAATTGGTCAAATTCTTACAGAATGGCATATATTTCCAGATCTACCACCCAGAGAAAGTCTAAAGACAAGTTATAAAACGGTCAAAAGTTTGAAACAGAATGGTTTAAAATTATTTTATAAGCAACCTTTTTACAGAGTACATAGAAATCGATTTTTTAATTCTCAGTGTGACGCATGTTACGTAAACACGGCTTCGGATAGAAATAGATTTCAATAGTGGGCTATATTTAACACAGTACAAAACATAATATTTGATTAATGCCGTTTCAAATTAAACTGCTTTAATATGCATTATGTAAGATTGAGATAAAAAGCTATCCGCTCTTGCTATTTATATTTAAAAATAGATAATGAAAAATGAATTGACGTTTTGACAACAAACAGCATATTAAATTGTGTTGGACTAGCAGTTCTTATTCCCGATTGTGAAGTACCATTGCCATGATAATATATAAAGTCTCGATTTTCAGTTCTTCATTCCGCCGTCGGCATGAGTGTTGCCATATTAACATTTGTCGTAGATATGCCGCACACTGTCTAGTCAATGTCTAAGCCATCGTGTGGTCGAAAACAGATGATTAAGGACTTGTCATCTGGATAAATGTTAAATTATAATTTATATAACAATTGAACCCAAAAAAGACCCAAAATTGGTACATTATTATGTGAAAGTTAAATCTTCATATTGAAGATCTTTCAGTTGGCCTTAACTGTTATATAAATCATTAATTAGACATTTATAACATGACAAGTCCATGATCAACACTCTAGACCATCGAATGCTTTTAATTTTTAACGGATCTAACACGCCTGCTAGTAATAAATAATGTAGAACTGGATAATCGAGAATAACCGTACAATAACTCCGCTTATTAGAATGAAGTAATTTGACTGACAGTTTCAACATTTCCCTTTTTCAGCTCTTTGTCTAAATCCTACATAATGCCACTTTTTATACTATATGAAGTCAACAGCCATATCTCTCTGGCAAAATCAATTACATTTGATGGGCCATACTGTAATGGTAATAAATTTTGATTTTTTGTTATTTCATTCGTTCATTATTCATTCATTCATTTAACCATTTCTGTTATTTTTATGTTTCTAGTAATACTTCATTATTTATTAGACGTTAAGCTACTAATCTAATAACGACGGTTGACAGCTGAGTTGAATTACTATCTTTTTGTTCTGTCTATATATTTAATGTTTCCGGTATAAGGAAAATTCCAGTATATATTTATTACCAAAGATTCTCACTTCTACAATACTGTGATTTGCATTTGTTTTACATTTTTTACGCTCACATTTTCACATGGACGTATATTGTTGTCATCCCTGTCCGTGGAGAACCTAATGGTCACAATGTTTATCCGATTTTGACGAAACTTGGAATATAGCCTTATCTCCCACAGATCTGGATTATGACCCCTGAGTGTACGAAAATATCGCATTTTTAGCTTGTGAACCCTTCGATTAAAACAACTCGTTTAAATATCAGCGTTACATCATAATGATGATTGGTTTGAATTTTGTGAAAGTTGGACCTAAACTACCCAACAAAATGACCGCTCCACGTACGCAAATAGTGTAAAAGTATGTAATACCAAAGTTGTGGACCCTCTAGATGTCACAATTTTGATCCCATTTTAACGAAACTTACAATATACATGTATGTTTATATTCCAAAGATCTTGGTTCTTTTCGATATTCGCGCATATTGTACCGCAGCGTCTTGGATCATGGCCCCTGGTTATACGAAAAATCGCGTGAAACCATAATATTCAACTGATGACATACTGGTTATTTTTCGTGTATAATGTACTCGCAACTGCATTCTATCTTATTTTGTGTGTAATTATAGTGTTCTTCCTATAGTTTACGTGTATATGTTTTTAAGATTAGGAGTGATTTACTAACACAAACTTCTCACTTTAAAATGCTATTGTATTTTAAATGATTTTGAATTTATCCTTACATGACATGTATATATGTCATTGTAGCTTAGGAGGAATTTACGGAAGATTAATTTTTCTTTTGCAAACTAAATAAGTTGGCTCAGTAAATAAAGTTTTTATTATTATTATTTTTTTTTTTTTTTTTTTAAAAAACCGCTCAAGTATATCACCGTTGAACCATAACCATACCAAGGTTATGTCTAGGTCACAATTTTTATCCGATTTTGATAAAAAATTAAAATATATATCTATATTCCAAGAATCTGCGTTCCTTTCGAGACTTCCGCATATGGGACCTTTCATGTATGTAAAAATATTTATTTTAGCCTGTTCTCTGTCCATCTCTTTCAAAATGTGGGCGTATCTTGCATGGCAATCGTTTTTTTAGAATTTCATTTGGTAATAAATTAATTTCATAAAGGGTTTCCTGTTTTGTATTTTTTTTTACGTGTATTTACAGTTTCATTTTTTTTTTTTTTTTTTTAAACAATATTTTATTCAGAAAATTTTGGATTGGGGAACAGGCTTAGCCTATGGACCCCCTCTCCATAGTATACAAATACAAACATTAAAATACAAAATAATAGTAATAAATATACAAGATAATTGAAATTTGATGGCTATTTACATTATATACAAATTTCACAGCCACAACAATGTTTAAATTCATAATTCATGACTTTAAAACCTCTTGGAGATGTCGAGAAAATGATGAACTGCATTAAATATCTGTGTTGCCCTATAGCTATCTTTTACGCCGAATAATAGGGAGTTAATATTGTGATGTTCTGGTTCTAATTGAAAAATAGTTTGAGAACGGGCATCTGAATGTAAGGAGCAAACTAACAGAAAGTGTTCAGAGTCTTCAAAAAAGTGACCGCAATCGCATGTAGGAATGTCCGAAATATGCCTTAGAAATTTATGTCCGTTTAAATCACTGCAAGAAAGTCGAAGTCGAGAATGGAGAATTTGATTCTTCCTGCAACCAATATAGTAGACAGATGGAACAGAGTTGTCTATAGCTCGTAATTTTGATTTAAAAGAAGAAATGGTAAGTGCGTTTTTGGTAGCATTATCAAGGTTATTCCATTCTTTAATAGTGGATGGTATGAAAGTAGAAGAGAAGAGAGTTGTTCGGCAAAAATAATCTGGTAAATTGTTTTGGTTTCGTAGATTGTATGAATATGATTGATTGCAAGGAATAAGTTTAAATAAATAGTCGGGAGTAAAATGATTTAAAATTTTATACATTAATATTAGTTTGTGTCGCCTTCGTCGTTCTTGCAGTGATATAAACCCGGTCTCCTGATATATTAACTTATGACTGGTACCCTTTACAGCACCGCATATAGTCCTGAGTGCATCTAATTGTAAATATTCTAGATTGTTAGTCAGTTCATTAGTGCTCCCGTCCCATATTATGTCACAGTAGTCAAAATGAGGAAGAATGTAAGAAGTGTACATAATTTCTAGGGATTTGCGACTAAGTCGGTACTTTAGAGATCGAAGACAGTTCACGAGTTTACCAGTTTTTGTTAAGATGTTATTGATATGCATATCCCACTTACAATTATTTTGAAATGTCAGTCCCAGATGTTTGTGATACGAAACTTCTTGAATTGGAATGCTGTCTAAGTTTAGTGTCGGTAATATAATTTTCTTCTTAGTAGTAAGTGCAAGTGTTTCAGTTTTCAGCGGGTTAAAGGATACCAGCCATGTTTTTGCCCAAATATTTATTTTTTCCAGATCAGCATTAAGAACATTCGCACATGCCGTTGGGTTACTTACTTTTATATATAAACTTGTATCGTCTGCAAATAGTCTGATGTTCGAGTCAATGTTTTTGACAATATCATTGATATAAACAAGGAACAAAAGGGGTCCGAGAACGGAGCCCTGTGGGACACCAGCTGGGACAGTCAGAGGTTCAGAAGAAGCACCCCCAATAACCACACATTGTTTTCTATTACTAAGATAGTCTTCAAACCACTCTAGTAGATCTCCTCTGATCCCAACTGCCCCTAGCTTATGACAAAGTGCAGCATGCCACACTCTGTCAAAAGCCTTGCTGATGTCACAGAACACCGTTCTCGTATACTGGCCTTGATCGATGGCTTGACAAAAAAAGTGAGTAAGGTCTATTAGTTGATAAGTAGTTGAGTCCCCGTGCAGAAAACCGCTTTGTAGATTAGTTATAATGTTGTGATCCTTAAAGAAGTTAAAGACATGTTTGTAAATGCATTTCTCAAAGATTTTTACAATAATACTTAATAGCGATACAGGTCTGTAATTACCACAAAGAGTTGGGTCACCTTTTTTAAAAATTGCCGTGATGTTTGCAGATTTCCAAATAATTGGTACATGCTTACAGTTTAAAGAGATGTTAAATAATTTACATAATGGTTCACTTATTTCAGAAGATAGAGATTTTATTAATTTCCCGCTAATTTCGTCATGTCCTGTAGCTTTAGAAGTGTCAATTGTTGAAATCATGTCTCTAACCTCTTTAGGTGTTAGTAATATGTTGCACAATGAGTGTTCTTCGTGCTGGAGATCCGGAAGATTTGCATTAGTGTAGTCTAGCTGTGATTGGTTAATAAAAAATTCGTTTAAATAGTGTGCTTTATCTTTAGGGTTGAATAATGGGGTCCCATCTTTCATAAGTGGTGGCATTTCTCCACCTTTTTTATCCCTAACAAACGAGTTAACAAGACTCCACCACCCTTTTTTGCCAAAATTGTTTGTACTGTTAATTTTGTCGTCTAATTTTTGATAATATTCTTTTTTACAGTTTCTTATTAAATTAATATATGTATTTCTAATATGTCTAAAATTTTGCCAATCAGTTGCCAAATTAGTTTTTACAGCTTTCTTGTGTATTTTATTTTTTTTCCTTCTCATTTTCCTAATAGAGTTATTCATCCATAATTTATCTTTAGGTCTAATAGTAACTTTTTTGTTGGGAATGTATTTTGTTGCTAGTTGTATTAACTCGTTTGTAAAGGCTATACTAGAGCTTTCAATTGAACCATTATCAAAGATGGAGTCCCATGGTATACTCCTAATGTCATGTCGAAGATTGTCAAAGTCTGCCCTATCGTAGTTCCATATTGTTCGAGAAAAGCTATGTAGTGTTTGACGATGAAAATTTAACCGACAGTACACAGGGCAATGATCACTACAGAAGTTATCTAATACACCAGATTCGTAGATATATCCTGAACAATTTGTTAAAATTAAATCAATTAATGTTTTCCCCCCTTTATTGTCATATCTTGTTGGTTCTGTAATAATCTGTTTAAAATCAAAAACTGAGATAGCTGAGTGAATAATAGTATTTGTTTTAGTCAAAAGATCAAAATTAAAATCGCCAAATATAAGGAGGTTATTTATATCATCTGATGCTGCCAATGACAAAGAATCAAATATTGATTTGTTAATTTGGGTTGAACAATTTGGAGGTCTGTAAAAGGTGCCAATTAAAAACTTTACATTATTAATATTTGTTTCAATCCAAATGCACTCTGTACTGTCGGTTTCTAAATCAGTCCTACGTTTTGCTAATATGTTCATACGGTAATATAGTGCAACGCCCCCACCCTGTCCGTCTGTCCTGTCTTTTCTTATAGGTGCATTAAAACCAGTGATAGATAGGGTGTCAGATGAAACGTTTTTGTCAAGCCATGTCTCTGTAAGTAAAATAAAATCATAATCTTCTGATAATTCTGCTGTGACAAGATCAATTTTATTTCGGATGCTCCTAACATTCAAATGCACCAAGGAAAATTTATTTGGTCCAGGATTCTGTTCGACATCTCCACTCTGTAACAATAAAGATAACATAAATATTAAAATGCTTACGAAAATTGAAACATGATAATCGTAATAAATGTAGGATTTATGAATTGGCCGTAATTGATTATATACAATACATTGGCAATAAATACACGAAATCAACTTATTTACATTTATGTACAAGAGGTACAACGCTACCGCACCTCTGTGATTGCCGTATAAAATAACGACAAGCTGCATATGTTCAGACAAATTAAAGAGAGAACTTTAATTAAAGAATAAGTTAGATTTAAATATCGCATTAAAATTAAAAGAAGAAATAACTTTTATCAAAAATATTAACAAAATTTAAGCTATATTTTAACTACACGTACTTCAGTATTTTATTTTAAAAAAAAAAAAAAAAAAAAAAAAAAAAAAAAAAAAAAAAAAAAAAAAAAATTGAATTGTTTGCATATAAGAAACCGTTATCTTACTTATATTGTGTCAAAATATTGTATCAATCCGTATTAAAATAAAGTTTTAACATAGTATTTTATTATAAAGAACTATTAAAAAGAGCTATTTTCAACATACATATATATTATTAAAGTATTATTTCTATTGCATCAATGAGTGTGTTCAAGTGTTCAAAACGTTTTGAAGTATGGAGTTGTAAAATAGTCTAACATAATAATTATGAGATGTCTTGATATACCCAAAAGTTTCTCTTATCTAAGTATGGACACGCTTTAATATATCAATATGTTTGTAGAATGCTGTTCAATAAGTTTTAACATAATATATTATTCTGTTGTATCACTATGTATATGGAATACTTTTTGTCTTAAATGCATCTATATTTTTAATACTAAAGCACGTTCCAACATAATATATTATTGTGGAATATTGTCTGTGTTATTAACATTTTTTAAATTTAGGTACAAACAAGTTTAAATAATAATATGTATCCTCATCATAAAATGCTGTCTTAATAAATTTGTAGAATATAAAAATCTAACCAAAAGATTCCAAATAACATATGTGTTTTGAGTACTTTTGTCTACCTAAGTATAAACAACTTTTACACTAAATATCATTATGAGCATGAACAAGTTTAATTTAAGATATAATTTGAATTATTGT